GCAGCCTTAGCTTGGCAGCACTTGGAATCTCAAGGTGAGGCACGATGGTTGGCTTGACAAAACAAGAGCTAATCCAACGCTCCTAACTCCAGTCCGGTGCCTGAACACCTACATATACATATAAACAGTAAGCTAAAGCCCAGTGAATAACATATGCGTAAAGAGGTTAAGGATGAATGTTCTTTCAGTATTGAAAACAGTCATTTATCAGTATATCAGTCATTCAGTTTATGGCTCATAATTCATGCCATAACAGTCATTTAGAAACTATAATAGTCATATGTGGTACATCCAATAGCAAGACAGTACAGTAGGTCTTAACAGACCGAGCAGTCAATGATGGCCATCATATTAGTAAACAGTAGTGGTCCCAAACATAGAAACCGACAGAGATCTCTGTAACAGTAGCAGTAACAGTTCAGTAACAGTAAATTGCTATGGATGCCACGAATACAGTTCACAAATAGGACAAATATTCATTCAGTAAACAGTGTCATTTCATAAAGTAGTACAGTCGTTTGTTCAAAAAATAATCTCAATTGAACATATCTTTATAACATTGTTACTCACAGAGTTCTAGGCTACAGATAAGCTAGAGCGTCCTCGGATGCCAACCCTACACAGTTACAGAATGAACACACACTAAGCTACACAGTTGGAAAAATAATAACTTAATTCCTAATTTGTCTCGGTGTGGTTCTACATCGATATCCTCATTAAGATGCCTTAAACTAGGCCTAAGAATGCCTAGGATGGAATGAGGATGTAAAAATGCACTTTAAAACACTTTTCAGAATTTTCAGAAAATAGGGGTCTCGCTCGAGCGGACATGTAGACAAAGGAGCTCCGCTCAAGCGTGACTTCCGTCGCTCGAGTGGACTGTAAGCTACAGTAAAAATACTGGATACACAAAAATCACGCTCGACGGGCGCTCGATCCACGCTTGAGCGTGAGACACAAGTCCTCGCTCGAGCGTGAACTCTCTTGCTCGAGCGGACTGTAAACACATGCAAAGTACTGGATACACGCATTTCACGCTCGAACGCCACTTTCCTCGCTCGAGCGGACTGCATGAACACAAGGCGTACGCTCGAGCGTAAAGTTCCTCGCTCGAGCATGAGTCCAAAATCTTGAATTTCTAGATTTGAACCTCAAGCTCAAAAACAACTTTAAATGTATCAAATTCGATCATCTTGGGCTATGGATGGCCATCATATCAGTAAACAGTCAATGATGGCCATCATATCAGTAAACAGTCAATGATGCCCATCATATCAGTAAACAGTAGTGGTCCCAAACATGGAAACCGACAGAGATCTCTGTAACAGTAGCAGTAACAGTTCAGTAACAGTAAATTGCTATGGATGCCACGAATACAGTTCACAAATGGGACAAATATTCATTCAGTAAACAGTGTCATTTCATAAAGTAATACAGTCGTTTGTTCAAAAAATAATCTCAATTGAACATATCTTTACAACATTGTTACTCACAGAGTTCTAGGCTACAGATAAGCTAGAGCGTCTTCGGATGCCAACCCTACACAGTTACAGAATGAACACACACTAAGCTACACAGTTGGAAAAATAATAACCTAATCCCTAATTTGTCTCGGTGTGGTTCTACATCGATATCCTCATTAAGATGCCTTAAACTAGGCCTAAGAATGCCTAGGATGGAATGAGGATGTAAAGATGTACTTTAAAACATTTTTCAGAATTTTCAGAAAACAGGGGTCTCGCTCGAGCGTGGCTTTCTACGCTCGAGCGGACATGCAGACAAAGGAGCTCCGCTCAAGCATGACTTCCATCGCTCGAGTGGACTGTAAGCTACAGTAAAAATACTGGATACACAAAAATCACGCTTGACGGGCGCTCGATCCACGCTCGAGCGTGAGACACAAGTCCTCGCTCGAGCGTGAACTCTCCTGCTCGAGCAGACTGTAAACACATGCAAAGTACTGGATACACGCATTTCACGCTCGAACGCCACTTTCTTCGCTCGAGCGGACTGCATGAACACAAGGCGTACGCTCGAGCGTAGAGTTCCTCGCTCGAGCGTGAGTCCAAAATATTGAATTTCTAGATTTGAACCTCAAGATCAAAAACAACTTCAAATGTATCAAATTCGATCCTCTTGGGCTAATTTTTTGGAAAACACTTGGAAATGTATAGTATAACATGATTCAAAGCTCAAATTGTAAAATCAAGGCCCAAAAGTGAGTCAATTAAACCCATTTTCAAACAAAACTTCAAGAACATGAGCAAACATAACATACAAGTGTTCAAATGAGTTCAAAACTTCTAATACATGCTCCAATGAGCCAATTCCCTAAAAAACAAGATGATTTCATGATCTAAAATCAAGATATGGACATGCATGTAACAAATTCCACGAAAACAACTTCAAAATGCTATAACATGTACATGCATGTATCATTTAAGCTTCAATTAAACAACTTAAGCCAATTCTATACTCAACTCACTAAACCTCTATGAATCATGCAAGATATAACTCAAGTGCAAGCTCGAGAAGATGGTTCTCCTACCTTAAGCCTAGAATTACAAGTATAGAAGCTTAATTATGCAAGACTCTTTCAAAATCTTCAAGACTTCAAGTAAATATGAAGAACTCAAGCTCTTCTCCAACTCTCTAGCTCTCTCTCACGTTTAGTCTCTCAAGTAGGATGATGAAAAGTGAGGCCAACCCATGTAAAGCAAGACTAAACATTTGGTCTAGCAAAGTCTACTGAGTGGCATTCTTGTAAATAAGCCCAACTAATGATAATTTAGCTTATTTAATCCAATTTAATCATACCAAATCACATTTCAATTAAATATACCATAAAATCACATAAATCTTAATTAGCATAAAACACTAATCAATTTCAAATTCGGCCGCCAATAAGGTCTTCAATTTACAGTTTAAAACATAAAGCATGAACAGATTATTTAACGGTCAACAGATAGAAATGCATTTAAACTAATACACTCAATCAATCAATTCAGAATTTCGGTCAATCAGTCAGTTAACATGCTTAATCATAGATTAACACTAATAAGTGGTGAGGGTTGTCACATTTGCTATGGTGGGAGTATGCGATGACCTGTTCGATAAAAGTTTAAAGTAGAGTATTTCATATTGTTGGATATAATTGTTGGGTTTTGATTGAAGACAAGACTTGTCCAAATTGATGGATTTTTCATTTTGTTGGAAATTCAAAGGTGGATATTCAATGGAGAAATTAGGGCTTAGATATGGACTGAGATTTTTTTTTATTTTTAAAATACGTGTACAGAGAATGTTTTGATATAATATCATTAGTCAGTTTTGATATCCATTATGGTTATTTTACTTTAAGATATAATTGTCATTAAAATAATATTTCACTAAGTGTATGCATAGGTATGTGAAAATAGAATTTTCCCATTTGTTTAGCGGATCATGTATTATATAGTATTGTATTCCATTGGTTTGGACACACACATGTACTTTTAACAAAAAAATTTAGTAAAAAATCATCAACTTTCAAACTAATGAAATTTATTTTAAAAAAAACTCTTTGTTAAAAAAATTCAAAATTCATAAATGTGTGAAGTTTTATTGATTGTAGCTCGTTTCAATGTGAACTACGGTTTTGTTTCGGGCCAAATGAGAACCCTTAACACTTCGAAGAATCTTAAAAATGAATTCGATTGCGAAGAAAGTGTCAACTCTCTTCTCATGACCTGGTGTTGCATTGAGCTCTTTGAGTTGGGAGCTTCAATAGAGGATTATGGTGAGGATATATAACGACAACCTATAACATACTTTAGTTTTTGTGTATTGGAAGATGCAATCAAGTGGGGAATGAATGACTGATAAAGCGCAAGTAGACTTATCACCTTAAGAACTAAAAAAATGTGTTGGCTTGCAAGAACCTTGAGAGAAAATATTTGACTTCGAGACTTTACTTGCAAAATCAAGTCCATCATCACTGGGAAAGTCAGATAATAAGAAACAAACTTATATGATTCAAGCCTTTTTTCAAATTAAAAAAGCACCTAAAAACCCTATGGGGGCTCTTTGTACACCTTTAAAATTTTAGGATAAATTACAAATACACATTTTGAGGTTTTCTTGAAATACGAATTGCTCCCTGTAGTTTGGAAAATTACAAATACCTTCCTATCAAAATTTTTTATTGAACATAATTAATTGAAAAAGTAAAATTTCAACTGTTCACCTATACAATAATAAAATTATATGAATTATTAATTGAAATAAAATTTTATTATTAAAAACTGTTAATTAACTTGATGTTTATTAATAAAAGAACCTATTTGTTATGAAATTAAAAATTTTAGGGGTATAATGTAATTTTTAAAATCATAAGAGGTAATTTGTAACTTAAGTAAACTTAAGGGGATGTATTTGTAATTTATTCAAAATTTTAAAAGCATTTAATATAATTATAATAAAAATATAAAACTAGTTTTATTTATTTATTTTTACATTTAAAAGAATTAAATTATAAATAATAAAAAAAGAGAGGGGATTATACCTAGTTAATAAAAAGAGAGGGGATTATACGTATTTTATTAGGGTATGGCCTCTGTCAGTCCGGGATCGGGTTAGACCGTACTATTGGGTTCGTGGGGGCCCACTAACGGTTTCGTTTTGATAATTTGAACCGTTAAATATGTAGAACTCGTCGATTACTATATATTTATAAAAAATCACGTCGATCGGATATCGATAGCTATATGATCAAATCAGTTTTATATTAAAAAAATTGGATGGTGAACAATTTAACGGTTGACAAAACTGTTTTAATCACATAGCTATCGATATCCGATCAATATGATTTTTTACAAATATATATTACTCAACGATTTTTATACATTCAATAGTTCAAATTATCAAAACGGGACCCATAGTGAGCCTCCATGTACCCAATAGCACAGTCGAGTCCGATCCCGGACTGGACAGAAGCCATACCCAACTAGGCGAGATTTATATCGAGGGTTTTAGACGGGAAGGACTGAGGCAGTGTGCGAATCTGCAATCTCCCTCTCTCTCTCGCTAGCATGGAGAGTATGGAGGCTGTAAGATTTCGTGTGGTGTTCGAAGATGGTCACATTCTGAGCAAATCGCAGAGATCGGAGGGACTGAATCGAAGCTGGCTTCTCCTTAAACCTCCACTCGATACCATCTCTGATCTCTGCTCCTACCTTGCCCACGTTTTCAACCTCTACGACTCTTGCCCTAACGGCATCATCCTCTCTGTAAGTCGAATGCAATAGCACGATTGATGACGATTCATATGTGTCCAATCTTGCTGCCCTCTGATTTCATGGCATGTATTGGACAAATAGGTGTGTTTTTATATCATGAGCAATAGAATTTTGTGTTGCTTTTATTGGAGATTGAAAATACACAGTGGTGGTCTGTCACTTTGATAGGGTTTCGACCAATCTGCTTTAAATTTTGTATTTTTAAGAGTTCTTTTGTTAGGATTTTTCTAGGGTCCCAAAAACCACTCCTAAGATTTGGTTAATGCAAAAATATAACCTTTAATTGATATTGATCGAAACCGGATAAAAAAAGCAAAGCAGTTTTTTTTTTTTTTCTTCTGCCAGAAAGCAATGTGATTATTGGTTCCCACCCAATGCCACCTTCTATTCACCATTGGAACTGAACTGACTCTATTTTATCACTGGAACTAATCAATATTACCACACAATATGACCATACTTATCAATTGTTTTAGGCATGGTAGCCAAAACCACTAATTTTATACCATAGTTGGACCCACTTTGTTAAAGCAATTTCATCTTAAAAACCCATCATTCTTTTCTATTTTAGGGATAGATTACATTTGAGTTTGCTTCCTGCGGTGTTTTCAGCATTGGATTTACACTGACTGAGCGCATTGTTATTATTTTATTGCAGATGGATGGCTTTGTGTTGCCACCATTTGAGTCTACGTGTATTATAAAGGATAAAGATGTAATCAGGTCAGTTTAAACTTGAAGTTCGTATCTTTTTGCTACCGTTTGCTTATATATTGAAAGTAACATGTCATTTTTTTCCGAATATCTTCGTATCAGAGTCAAAATGAAGGGAGGAATGTTGTATGAGATTGTCGAGGTAGGTGATGGAGCAAATATAATTGAAGAAGGCGAAATTGTGGAGAAGCAACCTGCACTCACAAGTGTGCCACTTTTAGCAAATGAGGAATTTGAGAACGAGACGGGTGGTTACCAAAGTGAACCTGAAGAGGATGAAGACAACCAGTCAGAGGATACATTACATGTAGAAAATTCATCTGACAGAAAGGTAGTTTCCAAGAAAAGAAAAGCATCGAAGAAACTCCAGAGCTCTAAGTATGTTTTACAACCCATCTTTAACCCTGTTCTTGTGATGTGCATAATAACTGCACTAGTTGTGGATCATATTACTGAACAAAGAAAGCACGAGAACCCACATCTTTCTGGCCACTTTGAAAGGATAAGCAAGTGATCCACCAATTTTCCTGTCTCCTTGCACTCATAACACCACTTAAGGAAGATTTCCCTCTTTTGCGTTGCAAGTTGTATTTGAATTCCAAATACCTTTGGAAAGGGAATCATCCTCAGTATACCACTCACAAGACCCTCTATTGGGACTTAAGATTTTCCTGATCTCAATGCATCCCATCAGATTTCAGGGGTGTTTGGCAAAGGCTATTTTTTGACTTTTTGAGCTAAAATTCACAAAATGACAAAATAGACTAAAATAACTAATAAGACAAAATGTCACATCAAACCTATAATCATTTTACTTTTTCTCTCACAAATATCACATCCAACTATAAAAAAATCCAACTATCTTCTCAAACACAAATATTTTAGCCTATTAAAATAGCCAAAAATTAAAATAGCCTGCTAAAATAGCAACTTCCCAAACACCCGCTTCACCTTTCCAGCTCCCAACATTATCTTCTCTGAAAGGGATTTCCAAAAGTTCCACAACCTTACACCTCACACATACTACATTTATTCATCCAATTAAAATTCTTGTGAGTTAAGTAATGCTGTTTTACAGGGTTCATATGTCTGTTATTTTGGAAGTTAATATTGTATCTTCCATCAAATTAGTTTTTGACATTAATGAATATTTTGTTTTTGCTTTCTAAGTACATCTATTCTTTAATTTACCAACTGTTGTAGATTATTTGACTGATGCTTGCAATCATTCTTTTAGGAATTTTGCATGAGCATTTTGCTGGGCCTGTCAACTACTTATGTATGTTGTGAATCACAGGAAGAAGCAAAAACGCTCTACGGATTCTCAAGACACTGAAAATGATTTTCATATAGAGCAGGAGAGGTGTGAATTCCACCCTGGAAAGAGTATTGACAAGAAGAAGAAAGTATCTCTTAAAGGATGGAAGGGTAGAGGCTTGTGGTGTCCCCTCCAGTCAAGAATTGGGGCCAAACAATCACTAGTTAATATGCTTGTAAAGTGTAAAACTAAGAAAACAAGTACCCCTAGAAGTGCTGAAAGAAATAATGGCAGCGTTGAACCTTTGCCTAGCACAAAGAGGTAGGTTGTGTAGGTTCTTTGGCATTTCTATGTGGATTAGTGCTTGGATTTTTGTACTTCTATTTTTGTTTATGAATTTATTTATTTTTGTTTGTGAGCTAATTGACAATGTCTATGTAGTTGGAAGTACAAAACCTGACTTAATTGAGTTCTTTATTCTTTTGTATTTTGAGTGGTAAGGCAGCTCTAACTTCAGTATAGATTTGGCTATGAGTTTTATAAAGTCTTGTTATGCAGCCAATCTTCAATTCCATTATTGATTTATCTTGAAGACTCTAAATGAAATACAGATCATACAAGCAACTCTACAATGCACATGCTTGAACATGCATGCACATATAGTTATGGGGAAGAGAGAGAGAGAGAGAGAGAGAGAGAGAGAGCTCTTTTGTGCGATTGCCCTTCAGGCAAATATAATTCATAGCATACATAAATAGTATCAGATAAAAGTCGCAATGACTTGCCAAGTCTTAGTTATCTTGATAATGTGCAACAATGTCAGTTTTTTCATATAAGCTTCTCTCTTCTGTTCGTGTGTATATAGCACACAACAACACATTAATTTTGTTAGTATACTACCCATATGGGCATCTTTGTATCTTAACATCTGGATCCCCTTTCCCTGTCTCCATCTTTCTGTGGCCCATGAACGATTCTTATGAATCTCCATTTTGTAGGTCTGATCAGCTTCAAGAAAATGGCACAATATGTATTGATGATGTACATCAGATGCCTGATGAAATTGGCAAGGTCTGGTTACTTTGAACCATTATATTTTAATCTGTCATTCTCTTATACTTCTCATCTGTTTCAGTTAATAATTCACTTTGCAGGTTCTTTACAAACATTAATCTTGAGGTTTAACTAATGCTTACCTGATCTTTTATGTCAGGTCCCTAGTAGAAGTGCTCGGCGGAAAAAAGCCAAGAGGCAATGGCTGCGGGAACTGGCCAAAACTGAAAAGAAAGAGGTACTTTGGCGCTGAGGACTTCAGAAACCTTTTCCTCTATTTAAGTGAAAGTTCATCTTTTGCATTCAACACCATCTCTTTTTCACAGCTGGTAATCCCTAATATGCAGCTACATCAGGTGCAATCTCCTGAAAAGGATGTGCACAAGGATTTCATGGAACATCAACAACAAAACCAAATCCCTAATATTCAGCCACATCAGGTGCAATCTCCTGAAAAGGATGTGCATAATGATTCCATGGAACAACAACAACAAAACCAAGTCCCTAATGTGCAGCTACATCAAGTGCTATCTCCTGAAAAGGGCATGCATAATAATTCTATAGAACATCAACAACAAAACCAGAATAGTGAAGCAGATAATGAGATTGTTCCCATTGTGATTAGGCCAGGACATATTCGCTTTGAGCCTTTGGGAAAGGGTGAGGTTCTGTCTCTCTCTCTGTGTGAACAGATTCTGTTTGAATGTGTTTTGACTTGCCTGGATTGATTTGATTAGTGAGAATATTGAGGAGCCAGGAAATATGGGTTATCCTGTTTGATTTGGCGCAATTGGCCTGTCTTGTAAGTTTGATTTGAATGACTGCTTGAATGTCTTCGTGGTCAACAAGAATGGAAAAAGGATACAATGCCATCATCTCGTTGGGCTATTTATTAGACATTCTGAACAATTTAATTTGATTTGATGATCTTTGACTATCTATTTTTTGACATTTGTTTCCCCCTTTGAAACATTGTCAGAAGTTGTATTGCTTGAAGAAAAGTAAGATTTGAAATTAATTTGCAAGAATCATTACATCATTATGTTTTTATTTTTTATTTATTTATTTTTTAGGGTTAATCTACTCAGAGAACAAACATGCATGACAATCCCCACTCTTTCTTTTAAATGACAATATGGCTAGAGGTGAATATGCTGGATGAAGAGGAACACTCCGTCTTTTCCATTTCCAACTTTACACTTTTTTCAATAGGTTTATTAAAACTTACTATTAGTTACTTCTCTACATTTAAGTTCATCAGTTTCCTCTGATTGGCAAATGGCTAGAATTTCAAAAATGGAGCTACTTGATGTTCCATCTTTTGTTGCCAAATTATCAAGGGTTCCTCCCTTGGCAATGAAACCTTTTCCTTTCCATTCCTTGCTTACTCCTTTCACTCTTCACTCTTGTTTTGTTTTATGAGAAGGTTTAGGAAAGGATGGGCAGGTGGATTGAGTGTGGCCAAAGATTTTACACAGAACTACTGATGTTACTCATTCACTTCTTAAAATTGCACAACTACATGAATACCATATCACTGCAGATTTTCTAATATACTACTATTCTGTTGGATGCAGACCAGGCTGCTCAGCAAAACCAAGTTTCCGTGGTATGTTTTGTTGTTATACACCAGTTCTTTGCTTTTAAAATTTAAATCCCTCAAACAAATTCTTCTTGAATCATGCTTCAGGAAACATTTCAGTGGAATGGGATCATCAGCAAGAAAAAGGGTCAAAAATGGGGTAAGGAAAAATTTTCATCCCGGAGGAATGACTATAAGGACTCCAATGAAGAACGTTCTGAAGTGATGACTACTGAAAGAGTGGATCCTCCAAATAATCCCCTTGACTTCGATAAGCTTGCACCATTGGCTAGGTTGCCTAAGGTAGGTTTATCTATTCTATTATATAAATGGTCCATCTCATTTGGTGTGATCGCTGTTACGCCTTTTTTTACCCCTCCAGAAATGCCCTTCACATCTGGTAACTGTCTCATCCAATTACTACAGATGTTTTTTCTCATTCATCAAACTGTCCAAAATTGGGAAATGATTTTCTTCAGTCATCAAACTGCCCCCCAATTATCAAACCATCTATAACTCTAAATATAAAATTGCAAATAGATATATGTGTGTGTGTATATTCTACTTGCACGGACCCTTGGATTTCTTCTCTTAGTTGATGTGTGGTGGGCTTCATTTGTCAAACCTTTAAACGGCCTACCTCCTAGCAAGCCTGCAATTTGTTTTAGTCGTAATTTATCAAAAAAAAAAAAATCTGTTTTAGTCGTCTGCCTTGATTAATCTGATTAACATTCATTCACTATCCCAGATAACATTTTTAATTAACAATAGCACTATATTTGTTGCTATTATTTGCAGGAAGGTGATGTGATTGCATATCGTTTACTGGAATTGTCATCAACGTGGACGCCTGAGCTTTCCTCTTTCCGGGTATAACTCTGATAGCAATTAATGAGTCTTATCTCATATTAGGTCAAATAAAATGTGGTTTTAAACATTTTCTTTTTGCTTTAGGTTGGGAAAACGTCACGATATGATCCTGAATCCGATAGAGTTCTACTCACACCAGTCCCAGAATATCCAATTATTTTTGACAAGTCAGATGAAGATGAGTGTGCACAACCACCAGATGACTCTCTTTATGGGGAAGATGGATCTCTAGAGGTACTCATGCTATACAGGTGCATCCATAAAAGAAAATATTTTTATGAAGGAATATGGGTACAGTTGGGTACATCCATAAAAGTATTTTTTTTTTTTTATAATTGTAAAATACCTTATAATTTTTGAAGTTTTTAAAAAATAGGCAAAATATAATTGTTCTAGTATCCGTATACTCGTACTGCAATATTTTTGGAATACACATGCTTCAAAACTTCTCCCTTTGATATGTTAATCACTGAATAATGACATCCGTGTGGATGTAAGGTGTGACAACTTTGACCTTGCAAGCAGAAGCCAAGCTTCTCCATGGAAATACATAACATCTTGTTTCCTATGCAGATAGAATTTTCTTCACTTGTTGATACCCGGATTGTCAAGCATGGTAACTCAGATCCTGCAAAAGCAGTGACTGACTGTGTTAATGACGATCCTGTGAGCAGTGAAGTTCGTGTATCAACTGTGGTGCCTAGCAATAACAATACACAAACACTTGCTCCTACCCCAGGTACTTAGCATAGTTTGCTTCAGTGGTTTAGATTTGGTTTCTATTGAATCGAATGTCATGAAAACTATATATATATATATATCTGTTTTTTACTGGATTCCCGACTCCATTGTTGACTCTGCAGAAAAAGACATCAATGTGTGGGATGAATTCAGCGAGGCTCTAAACACAAAGAAAGAACAGCTGATTCGGGAGAAAGGTTGCAGTGAGAGTTCTGGCAAGAGCTCATGGTCATTTAGAGCCATGAGAGGCAGTGCACTTGGCCCAACAATGGCTATTCTAAGAGCAAAGAATGCTATATAAGTATATGACAACCTACATCTATTTGGGTCTATGAATATGTAATATACATTGAGCATTTTTACCAGAAGCAGAGAACATCCTTTGTAGCTCTATAGCCCTATGGAATATGTCACATTTGAGCTCAGTGTTCATATTAGGGGGGCTGGAACCCTAGTTTGCTTATTGGTTTCCATGTTTTAATATATCCGTTTTCCAACTGCTGTATATAGACCAACCTTCCCAGATTCTGTAGAAAATTTTGATATCTTGTTGTCCTTATTTTCATTTTGTAAAAAATGATGAAAATTTCCAAAACACCCACCATTTTTACATGTAGGGTAAATTACACTTGAGTGGTTATGTTTGACTAATTTTTTACTTTGGCCCTTCAAATTATTATTTTTTTCACTTTAGCCTTTTATGTTTTAAGTTTTTTTCAGTTTACTCTTAAAGTCAACTTTTGTTTAGAATTAGAAAGAAAATGTCACAATAACTGTCATATAACATAAAAAATATATTATATGAAAGTTTGAGTTTGTATTAGAGGTGTGAATTATATATAATAAAATATTTTTATGTCACATATATAATTTTTTGTCTAATTTTTAATAGAAGTTAGTTTTAAGAGTAAATTGGAAAAAACTTTAACATGAAGAGTTAAAGCGGGAAAAAATAAACTTTAAAGGCCAAATTGAGATAGTGATCAAATATGAAAAGGGTAAAATGTAATTTACCCCTACGTTAAAAAGGTCTTTGAAAACAATTTTTCTGGCATTTCTTAGAACTGAGGAGGGTTTTCAGGAATTTTTTTGAAAAACAGTTCGGAACAATTCACAAAAACTTGTGTTTTACAGAAAATGGATACAGAAAATAGAAAAGGAGAATAATTCCAAACAAGCTGCTAAATCGATTATGTTAAAATCTAATGCAATGATATATATATATACATATGAAGAAAATGGAACCTTTTTTTACCATTTTCAAAACCCGCAACAAGTAAGAAACTCGAGCAAAGTTTCATTTAAACAACCCTATTGAGAATACTGAAAAATGCAAAAAGATTTTCCATAAAAGGTTCCAAGTATTATGCTTCTTAAATTCATACCAAAAAAAGCAACACCTTCGGTGTTGGATATAACAAAAGCTATATAAATAATACAAGGTTAAAAAGAAAAATTGCTTGCACTTTATATATTATTCATCTGAATACAACAATTATTTCCTACCAATTCCTATTTGCGTGCAGTGCGGGGGGGCTTGTCCTTGTCTTCTGTACATGCTTTGTCATAGTGATGAATTGAATTCCCTGCATACATCACACGAGCAAAAAAGAAAGCGCTTCCTATTGCTCGGGATGCCAAACTCGACTCAAAAAAGCTGCAATGGATCGTTGATAGTAACCTACGAGGCAGGAGGTTTCTGGAGGTTGACAGTATCTTTTTCACTAAGTTTGTAGCCTCTGTGTTAGTCACACCTTTTGAAATGAGAAACAGTTGAGATACTTTAGGAGCTGCTCTGGTTCCTCTCCTTCTCTGACTATCTGTGCATTTCATAGAAAATTACATCAAGAATTTAGTCCATTATATCTTATGGAAGAATAACCAACAACCACAGATGTGCTGAGAAAGTTCAACAAGATGAGACAAACAAGGTTTCATTTTTTAATAAATAACAGCTAACACACTCTGTTCGTTTCAGCAGAAAACATTTTCCAATGGAAAACATTTCTACTAGCAATTGTATAAGTGGTTGTAGGGCCGCAGTGGCGGTGGATGTAGCGGGATGGCGGCGGCAATGATGGTGTGGTAGCATTGGTAAGAATATAATTTAAGAAAATATTTTGCTACCTCTAAAAAGAAGAAAACATTTTATATCCAAATAAATTTGTTTTCCGTTGTACCAAATGTCTAATGTTTTTTGTCTAAACAAACAGAGCATACAAAGAATCAAATAACGATGACATTAAACAAAAAGTAGATAAACAAGAAACCTAATAAAAAGGAAAGGATTGCCACGCAAAAAGAAATGTTTCGGTGCTTCAATAGTTAATCTTGACTCTGAACGAGCTAGGGACACCCTTGCTTAGTCACAAAGAAGAAAAAAAGAAAGGTCCTTCTTGATTAGCACAATTGATGGTGAGGGGATTAACAATCGATGGGATTAGTGTAGGATTTGTTATCTAGCTGGATTAGTGGCATACATAATTCCATCTCGTCCACATTTGTTTTGCAATAGATGTAGACATATATAATCCCAATTATATGTTTGTTTTGCATTATTAGTTATAAGATTAAAAAATCTGCCAATTTTGTGACTAAGCAAAACAAAAATGGCAACCAAACACCGAAATGTAAGTCCCATAGATTAATAAACCTAATCCTATACTATAATCCACCCAATCAAATAGGCCCAGAGAGTGCTTTCAACTTGTTTTAATATCAAATACCTAATAAATCATGAACTTTCTTTTATAGGCAACAAAAGGAATATATTTATTAAAAAAGCAAGGAAATTACAAACATGTGAGGACAATTAGTTGTCCTCAAAGAGACGATAAAGGAAAATCACAAGTCACAAACTGTCCTCCAATCAGTATTAATTAAATACGGAGGAATCCCCTGAAAAGGAGGGATATACCTCACTAAATTTGCAGGATAAACGAAATTTTTGCACCTCATGTTTGACCAAGTGAACTTTAATGTTTAAATAAAGCATTGGACAAGACAGAATCTGAACCATAAACTCTGGATCAATGCCAACGCAGGCAATTTCTTAGGAAAATGATATATCAAAGATTTTCATATTATTACATTGGACTAAGAATTTTAAGCTAACATCAGCACTGTCCAGCAATATATTTTTGTTAACAATTTTAAATGGTCTGAATATCATCGAAATCTCATAATATTGATCAGTAAATAATGGTTCTCAAGGAGAGTTTCCGTATTTACAAAGTGTGTGCATGTGTGTCTGAAATTTTAATAGCTAAGATAAGATCACGTACTTAAGGGCCAGTTTGCTTTTAGAGATAGAATGAAAGAGATTGATAGTGAGAGAATTAAATAAAATTATATTTGTTTTAATGATAGTTGTTAGTGTGGAGATTGTTAAATTATTTTTATATAAAATAATAAAACAAATAAAACTATGATTTTTACTTAACAAAAAATATAAAAACATTAAACATTAATGTTAAAAAAAAAAAATGCCCAACATTAAGATAAATAAATAAAAATTGCTCTTGGCCGGTTGACCAGCCCGACGTCCCTGCGAACAAACAGTAACAGCTAAGCTGAATAGACTATTTTATTTTCCCAATACCATCTTCTAGCTAGACTCGAATCCGCTCCGCTAAGGCCTTTCATAGTCCGTTGGGACTGTGAGTCTGTTGGCCAAAGAGGAAAACAAACATGAACTTAGTGAGGGAGAGCTCATTGTTAGTCCAGTCCGGAGGCATAACTCGGAAAACAAACGGGGCCTAAGGTACTTAGATATTCAAACAACAATGTTAATCATAAATGAAGCTTAGTTTATATTTTGAATTAAAACATGCTTAGGGGGAAAAAACAAAAACAAAAACAAAAACAAAAACAAAAACAAAGAAATTATGTAGTCTAATTGGCATACCTATTTGAGAAAGATCTTATCAATGAACTTTCTAGAGTACCTGTACAATATATCAAAAAAATTGTCCAATAGCTCTAGTGCTATCTAGGTAGTTCACAGTGGAATCTCTTTCACAAAATACAGATCTACAAAATAATTCTAGCAAAAACTTCAAATTCTTCACATATCGACATGTTTAAATTAATGCTAAGAAACAGGACATAATGATATTACATACCTGCACAGAGGAATTCAATGGCAAACCCATTTGTTCAAGAAACTTGCTGCCAACTGTTTCCCACTGGACAAGATTATCTTTGCATGAGCCGTCACTATTGATCACTTGATTCTGCTCTTTCCCACTTGAAACTTCACGCCCCAGCCAGATGTATACAACATCACGCTTATTTGTGCCCAAATTTACATCCGAGATGAATGTTATGTACACAGATCTAGAATCTAGGTAGGCAAACCGGTGCATCTCTACTTTATCCATACTAGGCCACTGATAAAGAACCAAGTTAGTTACTTCCACTTCTAAAACCCTACTCCTGGTGTCACTAGATGTAAGATGACTTGTATCATAATCTCTTCTATGTTCAATACGACTGTGTAATTCATTGCCAGTATCAAGCATATCTGCATCTAACGTTGACTCTTCACTATTTAATTCATAAATTGCTTCTTGATCACTCCGGTTGCACTCGACATCACTCATCACAGTATCTTCCAAATCCGGTAGAGAAAATGACCAAGATCGTACTAGGTGTCGTGGAACTTGGGATGATTCATCAACTGAGGGTAACATCATTCGGGGCGGAGGATTACTCCCCCTCCGCTCTGCAATAGAGGGGGTAGTTCCCTTACATCGAAAACAATCATTTGCCTCCCTCTGAGCATGGTTATCAGAAAACGCCTTTTCCCGTGGAGGGGACGTTGTTGTTCCTTTGCAATGTAAACAAGCTTTTTCTGACAACAAAGCATTGTTAGCAGGAAAAGGACCAGGAGATTCCAATCCAGAAGGTGAATATTGAGATGAAGGATATGACAAGTCAGACCAGTTAGAAGACGATGGTGAGAAAGTAAATGAACTGGTGGAGTAATCAGAGGTTGAAGGCGAGAGTGAAGGAGATTTGGAACTGGGTTTTGGGCTATTGACAAGAAAAGATGAAAAAGAATCTTGCGAACTACAACTTGGTGTTGGCGACGATAAAGGATCGGTAAGAGGGTCTGATTGTTCCTCTTCTTTACAAATATCCTTTATCCTATTGGGGCTGCTTGTTGGAGAACAAAAGAAGATAATCGAGGATGAACCAGCTTTAGAGCTTGAAGGCAATGGAGGATCAGTTGGAGAAACAGGATAGTCAACTTCTCTATGACTTGATTGAGTAGATGATGTGATGAATTCTTTCATAATCCTCCCACTTGCAAACTTCCATCTTAATCTCCCCCACCCATTTTCTCTAGCAGGAAGACAAATCTCGGAATCAGTTCCTGACAAAGGACAAGGTGGTACAACCCCACCAGCAAGTGCCTTGTGAAAAATTTCAAAATCTTTATCATATAGATCAACCTTCCTTTCACCGACACCCAAACAAGTAGCGGCAGAGTCCTTATCTTCCTCTTTCATCTCCGCTTCTCCACAACCATCTGGTAAGACTTCTCTGTTCACAAGAGCATCCCAAAATTCATTTGGCTCTTCACCTTCTTTGATGGTTACAACCGGTCCCTGCGCCATCTCATACTTGATTACCTGAAAGGCAGCAACCCTTGCATAATCTGACATTACAGACACGCAATACTTTCCAATCCAGACATAAACAGCTGAAGCAACATGAACAACAAATGCTCCCCGAGAGTCAAGGCCCTGTGCACCCGGCTCGCTTAGCATTTTTGGTACAAGATGAAGCGGATCGTATGGGGAGTGAGGTGCCATATGATACATCCGTAGCACAGAATTGGGGCTCGCTAGAAACGCCAGCGTCCGGTTCTGGCAAAGCAACAATTGGCAAGCAAAACCCATATTCGGGTTTGTCACACCCCTTGCTGCCTTCACATATTGGAAAGCTTCTTCAAAGGTTTGTCTCTTCCTCCACATGAGGTATGCAATGACCAAAGAGTTTGATCGCGACACGCCCTGCCAACAATGGACAAAAACTCGCCCACCTTGCTCTCTAACATCTTCAAAGTAATCAAACACATCGTAGAGCAAACTCGTGATATCCTCGGAGGGTGTATCTTGAAGCCAAAGTGTCTTGTACACAAGCTCATTCTTAAAGTATTCCGGACAAACGAAACCAACACAATTCAACACATGGGTTATACCATTCTTGTGAAGAATTTCACGATTCTTTGCGACCGCATCACTTCCCAAATATATATGATCAACAATTCTCGAACACTCCTTGTCGAAAAAAGCAATCTTGTCCTTCCTGAACTGAAATTCTACCTCGGTTTGTTCAGATTCAGAGTTGTAAAGTTTTTTAACCGACCCTTTTGCCCCCGGGGTTGGGGCTTGAGGCCATATACCAAGATCATCAGACCCTGCTCTCGGCCATTCCTCAACACTCCGGCGAGAGATTGAAAGGGGCTGTAATGGAGGAAGGCACAACCGTGACTTGGTATTCGTTTGGGGCCGAGAATTAGGCGTTCTGGGTGACCTGTCAGTCCATGAAACCGACCGTAAATAGGCTTTCCGATTACCACCACCACCACCACCACCACCACCACCAACCCCGCCGCCGCCACTACCACCGGATGGGCGGTCTTGTTCTTGTTCTTCCCCCAACATATCTCACTAACCCTGGTTAAATTCTAGGAATACGATGAAACCCATTTGAGGATAGTTCTAGGAAAGGCCATAGAAGCGATCAATTTTTGGGTTTTGACTACAAATTCACAAAATTGCAAAATTTTAATTTGTCTGTGATGCCTTTTCCCCCTCAACTAAAACCGTTGACCCGCTTTCTCTCTCTCTAAAGAGAGAAGAAGAGGAGGAGAAGAAATCAAACACAAATACGACCAAGTAAAACCCTAAACAGAGCTTTCGCGGGACATAGATTGAACACAAACAGCTGGAGAAAAAAAAAATTCAAAAAAGAGTAAAGTGCAAAGAAAAAGAGAGGTGAGTTTGTTACTTGAAGAAGTAGATGGGTCGTTCTGTATTTGCAGCAGACATTTGAAAACCTAGAAGATGGGAACGAAGAAAAATAAAAATCAAACCATTCAAAGCTTGCGTACGAAGAAGGAGAGCGAGAGAGAGAGAGAGAGAGAGTTTGAACAGGAAGACCAATCCAAGAACGACAATGGGAAGGTTGGTGGATTGGCAGTTCTAAACAGAACAGACTTAGTCAAACTGCCACGTCATCAGTCTGTATGCATGCCCATTCAAGCATGCATGGCAAGGCCAGTGATGTCATTAAAATCTTTTGAAAAATAAAAAGTTATTATTTATGTATATCGGTAAGTCGTTAGCTTCTGTCCAGTCTTTAATCGAATTGGATCATATTGTTGGGTATGTGGGGATCTATTACGAGTTTCGTTTTGATAATCTGAACTGTTTAATATGTAGAACTCGTCGAATATTATAAACTTATAAAAATCACCTTAATCGGATATCGGTAGCTATGTGATCAAATCAGATTTTTGTCAACCGTTAATTTATTCACCGTCTATTTTTTTATACAAAACTGATTTGATCACATAGCTACCGATATTCGATTAACGTGATTTTTTACAGACTTATAGTACTCGATGAATTTTACATATTGAACGGTTCAGATTATCACCCGTAATTGACCTTCACGAATTCAATAATACAATCTAATCCAAACAAAGACTGAACAGAAGCCAACCCTATGGGTAAATTGTAATGCGTTAACCCTTCTATAATGTTCACGTTTTAATACGAGAGGATTCGAAGAAGTCGTAAAATTTATTACGCCTTGTTTGGTTTATATCTGTAAAATAATTTTTTAAAAATATATTTTATAAATATTTTTTTTAAGAGTAATTAAATTAAATAGGTTTTCTCAAAAAAATTCTTAAAAATGTGTTTGGTTATCTAATTTTTAGAATTACTTTTGAAATATGTTTGCAAAAAAGGCAAATCAAATGAATTTTAGTACTTTTATCTCAAAAATTACTCTATAAAAAAACAAACCAAATAAATTTTTGTACTTTTTATCGCAAAAACTACTCTACAAAAAAAACTAAAATTATTTAGAGAGAATATTTAGAAAAAAACAAACCAAACAAGTTCTTGTACTTTTTTTATCTTAAAAACTACTCTACAAATACAAACCAAACTATGTTTTGTTTTGATAATTTAAATTATTTACTTTTTAAGATTTGTTAAATAAAATATTCATTCAAAAATTTAAAATGATCAGATATTAATAATTATATATTTGAATCAAATTTATATTATAAAAAATGGATAGTTATTTTTGAAATTATATTTATTGTTTATTGTTTATTGTTTAAAATAAATATAATTTAAACATATAGCTACTGATATTCAATCATCTTATTTTTTATATAAATATTACACTCAATGAGTCCAATAAGTGAACGGTTCGGATCATCGGAATCGATTTTAAAAAGGGCCTGTGAAGTCTAAACGTTTTCTTAAGTTGAGATGACAACTTGAGAGAATCTAAACCTAATTATAAATACAATTTTTGAGATTTACTTAAAATATAATTTGTCCCTGTAGTTCTGAAATTACATCCCGCTTTTTGAAATTTCTAATTTCATAATAAATTATTAAGTCAATTAACGTTTTTAATAATGTTATAAATTTATTTCAATTAATAATTCAGGTAATTTTATCATTGTGTAGGAGAATAGTCAGGAATTTTGGTTGCGTTTGGTAGAGCTTTCTAAATATGATTTGAGAGTAAGAGTTGTATTTTGAGTTTGTTAGTTTTGGAATTATGATTTGAGTGTGAAAAATTTGTTTGGTAAAAGAGTTTTGAAAAGAGTTTTGAATTGAGTGAAAATTTTTCGAGGTGACATATAATATTTGATACAAAAACTTACAGCTTATAACCAAACATACAACTCAAAATACTATTAAAGCACATAAAAAATTTTAAAAAATTCGAAAAATATTTTTTTTGAATATATAAAAATTAACATATGTCAATTGCAAAAATAAAAATAAAAATTTGCACTGTTTCGGTCAACTGGTGAGACGACTGGTTAGACCAAATTTGAAAACAAAAATCTTGAAAATCGTGCCTTACACAGAGTTTTCTGCAGAGTTTTTTAAAGAAAAATGATTCGGATCCCTATAGTTGTTTCCGTCAACTGGTGGGACTGGTTAGACCAAATTTAAAAAAAATATATTAAAAATCGCGCTTTACACAGAGTTTTCTGTAGAGTTTTTTTAAAGAAAAATGATCCGGATCCCCACAGGGGGTCACCCCTACGACCCCCACTAGCCTGTGATTGGCCAGTTTTTTTTTTTTTCTTCTTCTCTAATCACCAACCCCCACGTGTGTGTGGGGTGGGGGTAGGGGGAAAGGGGGTTTCAATCACTTCTATTTTCTAAATGTTGTGGAAATGTGATTTGAGAATACTATCCAAACATCATATTGGAATGTGGGAGGTATAATTATAGTTTGGAAATCGTTCCAAACACAACATTTATTTTTTCAATTAATTCTATTAAATAAAAAATTATGACAATAAAATATTTGTAATTTTTTAAACTGCAAAAGACAATTCGTATTTTAAACAAATTTCAAAAGATGTATTTATAATTTACCCTATAAATTAATGTAGTGTAAAAGATAATTTTTTTTGGTGCAAATGAGAAATTATCGATTTTGAGAACTTTTTTATAATTATTTTACATACTAATTTTGCATTTGTAAAGAAATTATTACTAAAGAAATTTATACAGGCAAGAGGATGATTATTATTGCTCTTTAAAGTTCTGAAGTTGCGTGTCATTTTCTTTTGCCCACAAAATTAAGACTTGAGCATGGACAATTGGGGATGACAATTGATCCCATTGATGATGACTTATTTCGATTTGTGTAATTTTAGATATACTCTTAAATTTATTTAAAATCTTATTATAGCCCCTTAAAAATTAGATTCAAGCAAAACGAGACAAAAATTACTACTCCCCATTATAATCGAAAACAGTGGTATTACGTGTACTCATAATGTATACATTAGTGTACCAACTAGTGTTATACTATTATTATTAACTCCACGTATTAAATAAATTACAAATACTCAAAACTTTTAAAATTATACTACATCATCTATTAATATACTAGTTAGTACATTAATTGATACATATAGCATTATTCAATTGAAAATGATAAATTCAAAGATTTTTAGCTGCTTATTTTTCTCGTAACATTCATGTCCTAGAAAAAGAGCTTATTAAACAATACAATGCTACTTTGTTCTAAGAAGAAGTATTATGGTTTCAAAAATCTAGATATAAACATATCATTCTTGGTGATAGAAATACTAACTGTACGGGGAGCAAATATTCAGGCAAGCCCGTATTTCTTTCTTCCAAGCTCCGTTTCTGTCCGATCACCTGCGTGCACAACAGCAGTGAGCTACCCGGCGGTGTGTGGCCGGAAAACCCCTCCGACGACCAAGTTAGCACACACCTGAGGATAGAGAGAGTGAGGAGAGAGTTGAGTGTAAGTGTTTCTCTTACCAAATGTTCATCTGTCCTAGCATGGGGGGCACAGACTTGCTTATATACCTCCTGCACCCCAAATCTACTCACATTCGTCTCTCGACACGTGGTGCTGCTATCCCATCTATTAGCACAAATCTTGCTGAACATCACCTAACCTGACTGCCAGCCCACTGTATTGGGAGCTCGGCAGCCGGGTTATCGCATCTCGGCTGTCAACGGCCATGCTGCGATTCATGCCCAGGTGCCCCCGACAACCGAGCTCCTTTCCAGCCATGCTCGACTGCATAAGCTTGAGATTGGTCATACCGGTCAACCAAAGTCCTTCATGCTGAGCTTCAGGCATGAGCCTTCATGCCGAGCTATGGATGCGTGCTTTCCAACCGCGCAACGCATAAACCGTGGAACCCTTACTTGACTAGCCTCCGTGTCGACAAGGTGAAGTAGCTCAGTTCCACATGCCCTTGCCATTGCTGAGCAAAAATCATTTTTGGGTGGACCCGGGATACCACGACCCAAATGTGTTCGGCCCACAATTTGCCTGGTATTACCATGGCCCAATCCAGACCATATTTTTCCCTCTCACTACCTATTTCAATGTATCCACTATTACTAAGAGAAGGAAAATCAAAATCAATGCCCTTAAAGACAATGCTGGCAATTGGATCACGGAGACTGAGTGTATTAAGACCAATATTCTTGATTATTTTCAATACCTCTTTAGTAGTGATACTATCTACCACTTGGACCATTGGAATAATTTAGCACCAACCTGCTTAACTCAAGAAGACAATGATAGAATGGTAAAACGCCTCTGTAATTCTGAAATTTTGAGAGCTATGAAAGACATTGGTGCCTTCAAAGCACCAGGTAGGGATGGTATTTAGGCTATTTTTTACCAGAAATATTGGAATATTGTTGGCCATGCTATGTGTGATTTTGTCAAAACTTGTTTTCATAACAAAATGGTCCCTAGTGAAGTTAATGAAACTCTTATTGTGTTGATCCCTAAAGTGGAGAACCCTGAGAACCTTAAATAATTTAGACCCATTTGCTTATGTAATGTCATTTACAAAATCATAACCAAACTTATTGTGGGAAGAATTAGACCCATTCTTGACAACCTGGTGAGCCCTAACCAAAGTAGCTTTATCCTTGGTAGAAGCACTACTGATAACATTATCATCACACAAAAGATTTTGCATACTCTGAGGTACAAGAAAGGCAAAAAATGTGGCATGATTTTTAAGATTGATCTAGAGAAAGCCTATGACAGGTTATCTTAGGACTTCATCAAAGATACCCTATTAGAATTCAAACTCAATGGCACCTGGATTGACTTGATTATGAGTTATGTTTCCAATAACTATTCGTCCATCTTGTGGAATGGTGAAATTATTAATGGAGTCCATAATAAGAGAGGCCTTAGACAAAGAGACCCTCTTTCACCTTACCTTTTTGTGCTCTGTATGGAAAGATTATCCAATATGATCAACTGGAAAGTTAAGGAGGGCTCTTAGAAAGGAATCAAGGCTTCTAGAAACTGTCTATCCTTATCCCATTTATTCTTTGCTGATGACCTCATCTTGTTTTCTGTCCAGCCTTATCCAACTTGTTTTTTGTT